GGCATTGTGGAAGGCAAGGGGGGGGAAGCTAGAAATTAGATGAAAGTTTAAATGAAGAGTTAGATTTTAGATCATGGCATTGTGGAAAGCACGGGGGGGAAAAGTTTAAATAAAGAATTAGATTTTAGATCATGGCATTGTGGAAGGCAAGGGGGGGGAAGTTTAAATAAAGAGTTAGATTTTAGATCATGGCATTGTGGAAGGCAAGGGGGGGGAAGTTTAAATAAAGAGTTAGATTTTAGATCATGGCATTGTGGAAGGCAAGGGGGGGGGAAGTTTAAATAAAGAGTTAGATTTTAGATCATGGCATTGTGGAAGGCTCCGGAGTGCGGCTTTTAAGTGTCTTCGAAATTTACGGCTTCCAATGTGACCGTTTGGCGCTGTGGCTGCTAAGTGCCTCCCAAATCTGCGGCTCTCAACATGGCCTCTAACTGTGGCGTCCCAGTGGGTTCCAAATCTGCGGTTCCTAATGTGGCTTCAAATCGTGGCTTCTAAGTCGCTTTCAAAATCTGCGGCGACCATGTGGTCTTGATAGTTGCCGTCCCCCCGGTGGCGTCTAGGTCGATGGCTTCTATCTGGCTGTCACGATCGTCGTCCACGTGTGATGGCTTCAAAGTTTGCCTGTTCGATGGCTTTAATATCTGGCAGCTATTTGCCTTCTAAGTGTGGCTTGTGAGTTGCTTCTATATGTGTGGCTTCTATGTGGCTTGTGCGATTGCGACGGCTTGCAGGTTTGCCTGTTCATTGGCGTCCATGTTTGGCGTCTCGGTGGCCTCCAAGTATGGCTTTGACGCGTCTTCTAACCCTTTGGTTTCCATGTGTTTTTTTTCTTAGCGGCTCATGAGCGACAACTTTGATCTATGCTTGCAGCGCGACTTCCATGTTTGGTGTTTCAGATGCATCGTTTATGTGGGTTCATCTTATCTTTGTTGATATCTATCGATACTTGTGCCTATGCGCTTCTTTCTTGGTACGCATTGCGGGGGGAGGCGCTGCGCCCTCCCCCCTGCACCCCCCCACCCGCTTTTCTTTTTAACCGGCTCCCCTTGCTACCTACTATTCTTTTGTTTTTTAATGAGCATCATCGTTTATTTGGGTTTATGTGTCTTTGAGCATGCTCTGTTTTGGCAAGAAAAGAAGACTCCCCTCAGATGTCATGGGAAGGAGGTCATTGGAGGCGCAGGTGATTAGCTCTTGAGGCGTAAGTGATTAGGTCTTGAGGCGTAAGTGATGCACGGAGGCGTAAGTGATGTGGAGGCGCAAGTGATGTAAAAGTGGAGGCGCAAGTGATGTGTTAGCCTCTTGAAAAGGGGTTGAGGTGCATTCTGCATGTGACATTCTGTAGAGAAGAACATGTATCTTGGAAAGCTGTGTGTATGTTGCGTTTGCCTCTCCCCTGTTCAAACGCCTATCAACATTCTAGTCTATATCCAGTCTGTTGATGTGAGATCCGAGATCTGAGTTGATTTGAAATCAGTGATGGTTCATGCTTCATTTTTTTTCCGAAGGAACTGGCGTCTCTCGCCTTGTCAGGTAACTGCTGAACGTTTACTTTGCAAGTACTACTTCAAGCACAATTTTAGGTACTCTACTTGTAGGAAAAAAACTTGTAGGATACTGGTATTGGTACTTTGTATCTCGGCAAAACTTTTAGAAGCAGTATTTTGTCTAGAGGAGCCCGAGGAGCACTCCATGTGAGAAACCCATTGCCCAAGGCGATACAACGCAGTACTTCGTGGTACTTCGTGGTAGATGGTGATCTTGTTCAGCGGGGACAGAAACGTTCAACGCGTGAAACACATGTGTAGCAACAGATAGTAATTATACGGGAGTGTATGCAAAAAAAATCAATTGCTGCGAGACAGTAAGACAGTGTAGCGACGGTCTTCAGCGTTGAATAGCGAAGGAGTTTGCAATACAGAGTAATATTGTTTGAAAACGGGTGACACTGGGTAGTATGGAGATGTATGGAGTTTTTTTTTAAGCGGAGCAATGCACTCGGACTGAGTGGCATTCTGTAGTTTGGAGGAGCATTTCCTGTTTCAAAGATTAGTAATTGTGATGTGTTAATGACAGAGCCATGTTTTGAAGCCCGCAGAGCAACACTGTCAAATGTAGTTTTGCACTTTGTATGTTGTGCATGGCCAGTGCTGTGAAACATTATCATTAAAACCTGAACGAGGAAGTGTTTCTGCAATGTAACCTGATGTGCAGTTGTGTTGAATAGTGTTATATAATAGTCATAATGGCATTATTCGCTGCAGGATTCTAAGTTTTTGTCACCAACTACTTTGTGACATTTGGTAGTACGGGAAGCTGTTTGTAGGCCGCACTTGTATTTTGGGCAGGAACCACAAAGCAACGAAGCAGTGCATTGCAGTGGTCGCCTTAGGTAGTGTGTAGTGAGTAGTGCAGACTAGCAGCCAGTGGTGTAGGGTAAGAATTTGTAGAATAAAATTCCGCTGTTTAGGTTGGGATGGGACCATGTAGTTTCAATTGGTGCAGTATGGAGCAATGCGGTGTAGTCAAAATGAGTTCATGATGTCATACAGTGTCCAGGAACACACCACAATTTTCGTCAAGCTCGAGCAGTAAAAAAAATATCGTGAGCAGTTCAGGCTTTCAGGAGGTAGAACTGCTGAGGAAACGGAGGGCACATCGTTTTTCGGGGTCAAAGAAACTCTAAACCCTCTCGATCTCACAATCAGCTGGTTTTGTCTGAAAGTGGGGTACCCCAAAATCAGTGGATTCTCGGATTATCATCATGATCATCATGTTTCCAAAGAAGGCCTCAAATTTGAGGTACACGCGTCGTTGTGGACGAACCCAGCAAGAGTAATCTCGATCCATCTCGATCCGGTCCGTTCCTCTCCGTTCCTGGGCGTGGCCAATGGAACCTTTCTTCTGCGGAAGTTCATGGATTTTGGCCACAATCGCCACTGGTCACTTCTGAAAGAAAAACGCATTCAGTCAGCTGGTATGG